GTAACAACTCCACTAATTCCTGTCTGGAACAATGTGTTCATGTACTTGATAAGTTGAGGGGGGGGGGGTGTATTATCCTAATATTTGTAATGTTATTAGGTTTAATAGGAAAGAGACATGTTATGGATACTTGGTCATAAATAATAATAACAGTGCCTTATTGCTTCGCAGTTTAATTTGTCTTTTGAAATATAAAAACACTTTATGAATCCTTCATCACGGGGGATATACAATAGACCAAGATATTTAAAAATATATAAAATCTAGCTATTTAAAAAAAAATTACTCAATACTTGCTTGAAAGGTGTGATTAGAATAATGGCCAGCTTCAAGAAAAGATGTTAGTTTCTCACTGTTTTCTGTATTTTTCTAACCTATCATTGCTGCAGGATTGGAATGATTCCATCTGGATACTTCATTATCAATAAACCGAGCATCAGTCTAGAAGGTTGCTGAAATCTTAAAGCTCAGTTTTAGAGAGGCTGCTATATACTTGGTCGACCAGGAAACGGAAACCTCACCAAATTCCTTTGTTTTTAGATATCACATTGGAACATTGATAATAAGATTGGAAGTTGTCACTGCTGACGAATAGGGTGATCTGCAGGACGAAGAAATGATGGTCAGATGGCATCTCAAGAATGTTCAAAAGGCCTCTCAGCTCATATAGCTCAGCTCAGTGGTCACACTGAGAGGGGGTGGTTTTCTATTCCCGTCCAAGGGGAACTCGGATCACGGTGATTGGATGATGCATTTTTAGAAAATCTTACCACAAAAAAACGTACTAAAATATTTTGACGAACTCAAGGTAATCTGCTAGATCTGCTGCAGATGACCTTATTATATGAAAATTGGAAATTTAATATTTATATTTATAAAGAGAAAAAGACAAAATGATCAAGAATAAATTTCAGAAGTCTTTCAGTTTTGAATTTATATTCATTAATTGATTTCATTATAAGCTTGTGAATGTACTGAAAGTCTTGAAACTGGGGCAAAAGGATGAGATTAGAATGTAGCACAAATAGTGAGTGAAAGAAAGTGTCTTTTGATTGTACTGTCGGGGTAACACCCTCACATAGCATCAAGCTCCGGCTATCTTAGAGCCCTGGCGATTCTGTTTGAAATAAGTTTATATTTCCCCATGTACATTTATATCTATAGTACAATGATTTTATTATGTATTCAGAACTGAAGGAAATAAAAATGAAATGAAAGAAGAGTGATCAAAATCAGAAAAACAATATGAAGAGTGAAGAATAGTATTGGAAAAGTTAGACAAGTTGAGACAATGATGGCGAGAAATAGTAAACAATTAAGAGTGAATGAGAAAAGGTCAAAATCATTGAGAAAGAATAGCAGGGGAGGATAAACCAAATAAAGAAAATGAAAGTGAGAAAGGACTATTAAAAGTGAAAATAAAAGAACATGAGGAAAATGTTCAAAAAGGTAAGAAGTGATGTAAAAGAGAATTTCAATGATCAGAACATTTAAATTCATGAAAAGAAAATGGGATGAGAACTTGACAACCCTTGATGCAAGATTAGTGGGTTAAATTGGCACGATGGAATATATTGTAAGAAACTACATCTGCAGTCAGTTTGACTTGTTAGTGTGTCCATCAACTTTCATCTTCACTCTTGATCATTTTCCCTTTCACTGTACATGTATTAATGTGGTAAAATTGTCCTATCACACTTCTCTCATACTTGGATTCTTCTACTCTTCCTTCCCCAGTCTCCACTTCCTATAATTCTTCATCTCTACTTCCTTTCTTACAAGTATGACTAACATTGTATATTTCTCTGATACCAAACTTGCATCTGAATATCTCTTGCTCTCAATTCCTTATTAAATCTCTCTCCCCATCCCCCCATCTCTCTCTCTAAAATAAATTAAAAACCAACACGACAGTTCAAGTTGGCTGTTTATTTATTAAGGCATGAGAATACAGCGTGTTTGTGTACAAGTAAAATGTTCTTTACATAAAAGACACTAAGTCGAATCTTGATTATTGTGTATTATAACTAAGTGCTGTCTAATTTTTTTTCTCCATTTTGTATACGTTTCTAGCTCAAGTCGCATTAACATTTATTTTAAAATATTCCTGCAAAAAGGATACAAATACATGTACAATGTATTTCGAAGTCAGACTTTGGACCAATTATCTCTTCAGTTAGAGGAAAGCATGTAGGCCTACATGACACTACATGTAAGTGTATTTTCTTTTCGACTTCTCGACAAAATATTATACCATTTCTCAAACTTATTTATTTAAACATATTCATACATGATAACAATGTTTGACAAAGCTGTTTTCACATCGGTCACATACAACATATAAATGAAATGAGGCAAACATAACAATTTATTACAGGGATATTAAATAGACTTTGGACCAATTATCTCTTCAGTTAGAGGAAGGCATGTACATGTCACGACATGTAAATGTATTTTCTCTTCGATTTCCCGACATATATTATACCATTTCTCAACGTATTTGTTTAAAAATATTTATACAGGATGCAGGGACGGATCCAGGATTTTCTTCCTGGGGGGGGGGGGGCACACGGGGGAAAGAGAACATATATAAACGACTCAGCCAGCTGCTGTGGGAGGGGGAGGGGGGGAGGGACATTTTTGTTTTGGTCCCCAAAAATCGAAACGACTCAGCCAGCCGCTGAATAAGCGGGTGGGTGGGGGGGGGGGGGGGAGATAAGAGGACACTTTTTTTTGGGGGGGGGGGGGGGGTCACGAAATTTGTAAATTTGAAATTTTGCTCCGTTTGGGGGGGGGGAAGGGGTAAGGTCATCTTTTTAGGTCAGCCATTTGTATATATTTTTATTTTTTATTTTAATAACAAAAAAACAAAAAATTGGCCGGGGGCGAGGAAACGTGCCCCCTGTGCCCCCCCCCCCCTTTTGGATCCGTCCCTGAGATGACAATGTTGGCCAACGCCGTTTTTCACATTGGTCCTGTATATACATGGTAACATACGAAATATCAATAAAATGAGGCAAACACGACAATTTATTTCTCGGACATTAAATAGACTTTGGACCAATTATCTCTTCAGTTGCATGTACATGACACTACATGTAAATGTATTTCTCTCTTCGACTTCTCGACAAAATATTATACCATTTCCCAAATTTATTTGTTTAAAAATATGTATACAGGATGACATTGTTGGCCAAAGCTGTTTTTCACATTGGTCCTGTATATACATGGTAACATACAAAATATCAATGAAGTGAGGCAAACATAACAATATGTTACAGGGATATTAAATAGACTGGACCATTTATCTCTTCAGTTAGAGGAAGCATGTACATGACACTACATGTATTTGTATTTTCTCTTCGACTTCTCGACAAAATATTATACCATTTCTCAAACTTATTTATTTAAAAATATTTATACAGGATGACAACATATAACAGGGATATTAAATAAAATGATATGAAATAACCAGCGAATAGAGACATGGATATAAATTTTTAGATTTACAAAATGAGGTTATCCAACGATTTGAAGAATAGTATTAACAAAAATTTAAACTTCACCGGAAATGTAATTAATTATTTCACAATAGAATCAGAATCTTACCCAGCACACTCGTAGGAAACGAGACACAACACACCATTCCGGTGATGTAGTATTATTAGGTATAGCGCACCAAAAATAAGTACAACAAACACATGTTATTTGATGATTGCAAATGATCAAGCTTCATGAAAGCTTCAACGAACAAAAAACAGAATTGAAATCGGTCAATGCGTTGTGATTTTATACCATTTGTTGGATATCGCAAAATTACCGAAAAACCTGCCAGAAATAGTCAAATTGGCAAAAATGGCAAAATTCGACAAAGTTGACAACTTAATTCATCATTTTCTTGGACTTTTCTTAATAAATTAAATTATCAGACACTAAACTATCATCTTTGAGGTAAAAAATACAAAAAAGAAAATTCATATATCTCGTTTTGAAAACAGAAGCCAACAAAATAAGTCATTTTTGCCATTTTTGCGAATCTGCAGATATGAAAAAGTTGTGAATATAACTAAGTCCACCTAATTAATATGCGCATATGAAATCAAATCAAAACCGAAATTGATACATCAGTGAAACCTATGTAAATCAGACAGGTATGGAAATATATTTTTTTGAAGAAAAAAAAAATTATGAATATTCATCAAATATGCAAATTAGGTCATTTCAGCTAATTATATAATTTATATATATATATATATATATATATATATAGGAAAGTAAAACTGTTCATTTTGTTGGCATTTTTTAAAGCATATATGTATAGATCATATTTACACCAAATATTAACATTAAATTCCAAATATTTTTGCAATGCCAATAAAATATGGCGATGGAAATTACTTGGATCACCGTTACAGCTATTTCCTCATATGTTTCATAATTATTCAGAAAAACCGATCAATTGATACAAATTTGCAGACTTTCAGCTACATCAAAGTATATGTTTCTTTTAAAAAAAAAGTCAGATTTGAGGATTTATGACGATTTTCCGAGAAACAATTCAACAGGCCATAACATTCTACAGGGACTGAATTTTAGAGAAAAACTAAATTTAATGACCCCATGCAGTACAGTTGCGGCTACCTTGAGTGTAAACAACAAATTGATTTAATGAGTGAAACACATGCGAATATTACATTTTTGTAGGGGAGTTTTATACATTGAGGTGCATTTTCACCACGCAGAATAACAGTCAATGGACGATCAGCGGGCCATGTCACACATGGCTGAAAAGACAATATTCTAATTAATAATTTTACATATTTCCCACATGCCTATAACAATAAAACTACACAGAATTGTAGTCAAAGGTATGCTTGAAAGATATGTGAAAAATATTGTTCAGTTTTGTTTAAAATAAATTTACGAAAATTGCTATTTCTACCAACTGACTGCTGTTGTGTGTGTGTGTGTGTGTGTATTTGCGCGTGCGTGTGTGTGTGTGCATGGGGCAGACTGTGTGTACAGGTAGTGTGATCACCCTAGTATTATACTTAGGGCACACAAAAGTAAATTTTATTCAAATGGGTAGAAAATAAACACAACACATATACATCCATATGGCGTCACTGGTGATTTAGTACATTAATGAAAATGCAATTGTTTATAAAGGTGTTTAAATGAAAGAAATAGACGTTGAAATCTGCAAAGTACTAGGTAATGAGTTCCATATATCACCTCCTTTAATAGAAGTGGGCCCTGTTTTACCAAACTTGTTATCAATAACAACTGCCACATATGTATGGTAAATCTGCTCACAGTCAATCAAATGCAAGTATTTAAGAAGCTTAGTATCACAATGATCGTAACATGTTGATGAACAAAAAGTTTTATGAAACAGGGTGTTCAAATTTCTAGATTTACAAACTACGATGACTACATTTCGGATGGATTGTATGCCAGCTTCTCAAACTTATGTCTCTTGTTGTTTCATTTCGATCTTTCTCTCTGTTGCTCTGTCCTTATGTCTTAGTATTTCCAGGAACAAGAACAGTTCTTGCACTTCTAACATCAGTGAATGCTTTGGGCCATGCGTTACCTCCAAAACACTCTTTGTCTGAAAAAACAAAATAATTAATATTTATTTAAAAAAAAATAACAGACATATTTGGCACCATCCTAGATCAGAAGCAGAAAAATTCAGGAAAAGTTCAACGAGGGTTTAAAGAGTGAGAAAGAGAGAGAGAGATAGCGAGAGAACGAGCAGGAACGAGTCAATCAAAAATATGAGAGAAAAACAATTTTTCAATCAAATGGATGACATAAAGGGATACGTTTATTGGTTCGATGCGATGAAAAGAAAATACACCTGTATTGATCTACTTTATCATACATGCTCCTAGCATGCCAGCAAGGTCACTTCCTCTGTCTTTATGGATTAAAGTAGATCAAATTCATTCCTTATTGATTGATAAATTATTCATCTTTTGTCCTTGCTAAATTATATTAAAGGTAAAGACCAGTATTGGAAACGCCCCAATTTCAAAAAATGAAATGAAAGCTCTCATTACCAATCATGTAAAAGAATATGTTTTGACTAATACATGATGATAAAAAATTTGCCGGGAAACCGCCTACTAATTCATATATTTGGTAAATTTGTTTCTCTCATGGTCTGTGAGAGATATAGGGTAGTCCCATATACATCTTTCTGTGTATAGTGCTTGTAACTTTACGAAGAATGGGCCAAATTTGATGATTCCAGAACCTTGCAGATGCTAGATGCTAGATGATCAACCTTTTCTGATCGATTCCACAACGTTTCTTTCACAATGCAATCGCATGACCATAATCGGTCTTTACCTTTAAGGCGAATGACTCGGTCAGAATCTGAATACGAATGTCCAGTTAGCAACACACTTGCTTTTGATGTATATACTGGGGGTTATGATACTTTTTCAGCCCAAACAACTACATGTATAGGTATAACATATTGCTCCGATTGTCTCATTTTCGCTCGCTGGATCACTGCAGCACAAACATAGCTCATTCGACGTCACTACCAAACTAGCCAATCAGCTGTCAATGACGTCATATTGAATGCGGCGGCAAATATATTTTGTGAAATTATCGAGAAATGGACTATTTCTAATTGCAAACTAGTTTCATTTTTGGATGGAAACGCAGCCATTGTTATCTTGAAATTCATTGAAGTCATCAGAAAAGGCCAATTTACGTCTCAGATGATTCAAGAGGTCTATTTTGTAGATAAATTTTCAATTTCTTAGAATGTTCCACTGTGTTGCAGGGTACCGGGTGTATGCCATTGGGTGTGATGTGTTCGCGCGCAATGGTGCGAATTATAAATTATTCTTCTTCTTCGCTATAAGTACAGGCCACCGCGCCGTCGGGTGTGAACATTTCTTTCCTTCTCAATACAATAACTTTCACCTGCCTAAGTTATTCAAACCATACGGAATTGTGGCGTCTCGCCACTTCCATTACGTAATCATTAAAAGGATCTGCATATACAACATTTTCCTGCTATACGTTGTACCGCAGGAAAATACAAATCTCCCTCGTATACCTTACAGTCCAAACGATAAATATGTGCCTTAAACGAAGCAGGCGACAATCGGCGTAGCAGACGACACTTGATAGTAATTTTGTACGTGAGATTGCTTTGCTAAATATAAATTACTTTGTTAATAAATATCAACTAAAATTTCTTTTACATATCTTTAAACCATCATTGATATTTAATAATTAATGAGTGAGTAAAAGAAACATACCAAACTATATAATGATATGAAATACTTGGTGGCAATGAGGGGAGTTTGACGTGATGACTGATGGCACCCCTCTGTTAATAACCGAATAGTCCATGGTGTGTCATGAATATTCATGTTTTTGCTTACCTCGGCTAAATGTTTGCTTTTACTAAATGGAAAAATTACGGTGGGGGGGGGGGGGGGGTAGATGAAATGGAAATAATGAACAAAGCAGAAGTGATAATTGATAATTCATGCTTCTTATCCTTCGTGTGCTTGATATATAATCTTAAAATCGCTTGGCAGACTGAGTCCAAAGTTCGACTTGTTTCACGTGTGTATTATAGGCAATGGCGAGCTTGCAACCTATTTTGAAAAATTACGGTGGGTGAACTTTCAAAAGTCAATGAGACATGTGGGCTCCAATGAAAGAGCTAGTGATAACGTACGTCGGGGTGAATGTGCCTTTCGTTTAAACAAAAAATGGATTTTTAACGATTTAAAAAAAAAAAACGTCCATAGGCTAACATGTTAGGCTGCTGACTCTGACGATAGGGGGCGTTGTGAAATGAGACTAAACGGAGCAATATGAAGCTTTTTCACTAATGAAACAGAGTGGTCGAACGGGATTGGGTGAGGTTACGTACCTCAGATGATTCTGGATTTCACTGTGTATCGTATAGTCGCATTTAATTACCATCGTCTCCCCCCCCCCCCCCACCCCCAATCCATGCACCATCCTTGAAGATGGAATAATGCCCGCACTTATTAAAGGTAAACTTTAATAAGCGCACAATTCTACAGTTCTACTCAGATACTAATGTCAAATGTTGTCAAAAGAGCAGAATTAAAAATAAATTGATAAAAGTTCAGTAAATTTTTTTAAACACCCACTATTGTAGTCTATATAACGTCCCATCAATTCATAAAAAAGATAGTTACCTCTGTGAGATATTTTTTAGCATCTTCAAGTCTCCCCAGCTCAAGTAGTATTCTAGTCATTCTCAGGAGGTAAATCCCTAGAGAGGCACTGTACGGTCCTTTATAGAGATATCTAAATCAAATAACAGTCAAATTCAGGCATAAAACTACGGTTTTGCAAAATGTACAGTGGGTCCTATGACAATTAACCCCTGGACAATTACCCCTCAAGAACAACAACCCCCTTGCACATGCAATTATAAATTTATGCATGGCATCCACCCATATCTTAATCCTTAGTATTCTTGCAAGATTACCCCCCAAAACGCCAAGCGCCATGTGCTAACAAGCCATATTAGGGGGAAGATCTGCTGATAATATCACACTTCCTCAGCCTGATCAGTGTTTATAACGGCTTAATCAATATACCATTTAAGGTCTGTTCATTATCTTAAAGGTATTACAAAGTTTTGGTATGAAGTCATGAATTTGGTTCAAATGGACATATTGGAAGCATATATGCGATCTTACATTATTCAGCGATCGTTGTCGCGGTTGAAATCGAGTCTGAAGTTATGAAACTAACATAATAAACACTTTATATTGTAAAGCTCCCTCTCAAGGTCAAGATATTAATTAAGCTATAAAACAATTTTTCTCGACTAAAATCGACCGATTAGCTATTCCCGTTTGGAAATTATATACCACAACTACATATTATGAGATTTTCATGGTCGCAGCTACCATTTGTACGGCTGTAGGCGCTTTTTGATATTCATCAAAATTTACCGGGAGCACCGGTAAATTTTTATATTCAATTTATCTCGAAAGCAGAAGTATTTTAGGGGCTAAATTTTTTAGTGCTTATAATACATCCAAAGGGGCATCCAAATATATCAACATTGTATAGAATGACTATCCACCCAATTTTCACAAATTCCCAAAACTTTGTATTACCTTTAAAAAAAAAAAAAAGATAATTCATATATCTGAATGTCACTAATCACTAATTGTTCTATAAATGTGATGGTTATTTTACCTGACCGCTAAGAAAGCATAAATACTTGTAAGTGAGCAACCAGACGGCCGACGGTTTTAGGTCCCTCTCCGAGGGGACCTAGTAGTGAAAATTAATGGTTTCGAACGCGGATCACCGGATTACGAGACCACTGCTCTACCAACTGAGCTATCGCGCCCCCTGTTCTGTGTAATGTGTATAATGAGTATAATGAACATAGTCTTACCTGTTAGGCTCTATGTTCAGCTGTCCAGTCTCAACAGCTTTCTGCCATGCTTGTGAGTCGATGCATGCTAGAAATGCCGCATTTCTGACCTGGTACAGGAGATGATGATTGGCTGGAATATTGCTAGAGTAGTCCATCGGCTTCAAGTAGGGTGCACACAGCTGCAACACTTTCGCCCAATGTAAATATCACAATTAAGAAAGAATAAACCCATACAATGAACATTGATCGAGATGGGGACAAAAAGCTAAGAAACTGAGAGGACTAACATGGGGTCAGTGAGTTTGGAGCATAGAGGAAACTAAAGGGTAAATGAGAGAGAGAGAGAGATAGACAGAGATGAGTAGAAAAGGGGGAAAAGGAGAGCAAAAGAGAAAAATAGATTACAACGCAATGTATTTGTAGAATGTGAATTGTGCAAATAAAAAAGCGTCCTAATAACTCTATGATAACGACAAATGAACCAAACACAAAAGGTAAAAACAATTATTGACTTCATTCCTAGTATTTCAACTTATTGACAGGTAATTATAGTCATTGTATATTTTAAAAAAATTATATGTCAACAAAGGATATCTTGTGCCTTCTCTGCATCCTTTATTCGCTCCAAGGATTTCTTCAGACCTCTGAGCTCTTCACCTAAACCATCATCTGGCCCCAATGCCTGAAATATACAGAAAATATTTTATCAGAATGTAAACAAGATAAGCTTGATAATAAGAACATTTTTATTTTGCACTAAAATGCATATATTGCAAGTTTATATGTAAAACAATTTCTATATGGACTTTGAAAATCACTTATTATCTAGTGCATTACTGAGGATAGATCCATGCAGGTATCGACTGCCTTGGCTAATGCATGCATAAGTTACTTGAGAGTTATATCATTATTTCATATTTGAGTTTAAATAGAAAGTAAAGTAGCGCGTAGATCGTATTATTGTTCACTACTTTGAACATTGGAAGTTATAATGGTGCACAATCATTAATGAAACCGCAGACCTTATCTTGAGATCATCAATACAATTCAAGTTCAAAGATATCGAGTACATGTAGTTTAAAAGAAAACTACCTACCGGTATACAACTTGCATGTTATTTTCAGGCTATTTTGCAGCATTTGAGAAGAGTAAAACAAAGGATGAAACTGTAAAGTAAAGACTCACATTGATTTCTTCGATGCATTTCACACACTTGCAGGTGAAATGATAGCTCTCTTTCAGATCAGCCTGTCTCACTTTAGCTGGTTTCATGGCATCTACATAGCTGATTGTACACTAAAACCAAACGAAAACCGGTTGTAAGGATCTTAAATTATAAGCACATGTTATTCTTATAGTGCATGTACAAGTAAAGACCAATCATGTTTTCAAGGTCATAGATTTGCTTGATTCTTTTTCATATGACCAGACTTACCAGCAAATTGATGAATGTTGACCATTGTGATATCTTCCAGTTGTGACGAATATCTAAAGAATCTAAAGAATAAACATCAGTTCTTCATAACAGTTGAAGCGTCCTTCACTGCAAAATATAGAACTGATATACATACCCTAATGAACGGTTGGTAACAAAAGATACAAAAACCATCTAGAGGTATAAGACAGGGGTGTCCCATATCTGCAGTATTATTTATCCTTAGCATTGAAGCTCTTGCAAATGAGATTAGACAAACAACGATATATTAGGCTTGAGTGTTGGTTGTAATGAGAAAACATTAAAAATATTACAGTTAGCAGATGACATGACATTATTTGTTTGTACAGTTATGTCAGGTAATACAGCTATAAAGATTATTTAAAAAATTGAAAAGTATTCTAGAATCCAATTAAATGAAAACAAGACAAAAGCCCTCTGGTTGGGAACCAACAATCCATCAAATACTATCGGAAATATGTTATGGGAAGATGTTTATGTTAAGTCACTCGGTATTTATTTTTGTAAAAAATAAAGATATAGGCTTTAAAATGAACTGGTCTGAAGAGAGAATATTACAAATAAAACAACTGTTAAATCTTTGGAAACAGAGAAATCTCACGCTTAAAGGGAAAATAATGATATTAAAATAATTGATAATGTCGTAAATCATTTATACATCACAAGTCTTGTCTTGTCCTAAAGAGATAATTAAGGAGCTCGATAAGTTCATTTTTAATTTTTATTACAAAGGTTAAAAGGATAAATGTATTAAATAGTACTCAAGAAGGTGGTTTAGATATGTTGAATGTTCAAACAAAGGTTGCATCGTTAAATATAAATTGGTTTTGTAAATATCTAAGCGATGAATTAAATGCAGGTTGCAAATGTGTGTTTGACTATTGGTTTGAGCAAATTGGTGGTATAAAGGTTTTAATGAATTGTAAATATAATACAAAAAACGCAAGTTTTCTGGAAAACAAGATGCCTCATTTCTACTATAATTTAATTTTGATCCTTTTCTTGTATAAAAGCTGTTACTACCCAAAAAAGGTTCGATCATGTACTTTTGACAGCTATTGTAGAGAAATGATTCGGCTGAATAAAAATGTAACGTATAAAAGGAAAATGCTTTTTTATAGGAATTGGATACATTCTGACATTTTGTTTGTTTGGGATTTAATGGATGGGAAAGGTTTTCTACCAGTTAATTAAGTCAATATGTTTTAGCATGAAGTTGAAAGGAATATAAAGAAATATTTCATGTCTAATTTTAATGTCAAACCATGTCATCTATTGTTTGGTATTGATTTTAATTCAAAGAAGGAAAAAGATATTGATATTATTTTGAATAATCCACTTTCTACTGTTTAGCAAAGCTTTGTTGGAAAAGAATTTTAAAAGAAAACAACAAAAAAGATCCTTCTTCATATTTTTATTTACCTATTAAATTATCGTTTACAAATATAAGAAAATATTAGAAAACCATGTATATCTCTCCAGAAATGGAGGTAAATGCTAAAAATGTGAATATGTTTATATCATTATGAAAAAATAAAGAAGACCTGAATTGGTTATTTTACACAACATCAGAAAAACAGTCAATGACATTTCTTTAAAAATATTCAGGGTATTTCCTCTCATGTGCATATCCAGAACATAGAAAATTAAATAAATGAGGTATTTGAGAATAAAATATGTGGTCTCACCTCATCTCCTTCTTTGACATCTTTAACAGTCATGATTTGAAGTTTTCTCCCATCACACACCCATGCACAGTTAGGATCACAGGAATGGTTCAACATAGATGCTCTTAAAAACAGGAACAGTTAAAACAGAGAAATAATAATGACACATTTATTTACACACACAAAATAATTAATGTATGGGATTGGGAAGAGAAAATGTAATAGTTTATTATGCTAATGAAATCATGCTTAACTTACAAGTACAACATACAATCAAAACGATGAAAATTATGGTTGTTTAGAATTGGTTGACATTATCGATAGTGCTTTAAAGGTATTTGTCCTATTTGTAGGCCAACAAAGAAAACCAAAAAAGGTAAAATTCCAACGGCATGTGAAAGATAAAACTAATTTAGAACTTTCCTAATAAAAAATGGGGGCTTGAAAATGTCTTTAAGTTGGAAAATAACGACTACGACTTAGGTGCTACCAAGTCAAAAAGAAAGAGTCTGATTTTCAGACCATTGTACCGAATGGTCGTACGTTTTGAACTGCGCAAAGATTCAATCAGTTTAATTTTGGCCATTACAAATAGTGGGTTATTGATATAGACAAAGGATCATGTACCCTTTACAGCTCATTTTATGTATGTTATTACCAAAGAAGAAAAAAAGCCAGTCAGTCACTTCATAGTGTCTAACAATGAAGTCTAGCAAGTAAACGGGTTTCCTTTGCATACTTTGAATATTAGGACACCGCTAACGTTTAAATTTTACAGATAGGACATACATGGCATATTCATAATTCCTGCAAAGTTCGATATAATTCGATGTTGGCTGCAGAAGGGACATAGTATCTTTAACCAATAGACCAAAATATTTCTGATAGACTTTGCATGCAAAGACGGCCTTGGCATGGCCGCAATTACAACTTTCAATTGAAAATGTCGATCCCAACATCTGATTAAAAAACAAAAGCCACTGTTTCTATAGCTCATAGTCTCAGCTATAACATACCTAAATTTGGGAGAACATAGTGCCCAAATATGCTTGATAGTGCTCAAAGATTAATGTCATGTAGATTCATGATTTGAACGAAATTCACGTTCCCTGGGGCCTAACACGCAAATTAAGACCATTCTGTCATGATACCTTTTAAATAATCGCAATTTTCACTATGATGACGTCATCAAAATAAAAAATAACGTGTACTGATCTTGGAGAAGATTTTCCTAGCAATAACATATCAACATTAGGAAGAAAATTGTTCAATATTTACAGAGATACAATCAATTTTCCATAAATATGCTGACGTCATAATGAGCAAATTCGTATTTTGAGTTCCAAGGTCAATGTGATGAGGTCACGATTTACTTAACGGCCAAATGAGACATGAAATCATATCTCCGACTCATATTTTATCCAAATATAAGAACAAATTGAGGATTCCAGGGCATCCATAAGAGCTAAAATAGATTTTGTATAGCCATGTTTTTGCACATAATTTATATGTTATGTATTACAAGAGCTCGCGCGCACGGACATTTAACTTGAATGGACGCTCATTCCCTTAATAATGGTCATAAAGAGATAAACATGGTATCAAATTGTTTGGGAAAAATGAGAAATATCGTGTCAAAACAAATAAAGGAGGAATTATTTTGCTTTCGGCCGTGACGAACGAAAGCGCGCGCGCAAAAATAAAATGCCAATTCTTATAATGGCGTACGAGCGCGTTTTTTGACCTGGAATTGACCGGACGGATATTGAACTTGATTATGATAAATATGAATGAGAAAGGACTTTCCGTTTATGAAGATATGATCATGAGTTGATTTTCAGAAGAAGAAAAAAAATATCACAAAATGGCGCCTAGATGACGTCATCACTCATGGTCAAGGTTGAAAACCTTATTGTGCTTTGTCCATATGCCTATACATAATGTGTGCAAAATTTCAAGGCATTTGATTGAGCCATGTTCAAGTTATCCTGCTAACAAAAAATTGGTTAGAAATACGAAAAATAATCTAACTAAAACATTAGGTGTTCTGTATTATATACATCCCATCTTAAAATTACATTTAAAGCGCTTAATACAATGTTTTCAAGCGCTTAACAAAACAAGGTACAACGTAAAATAAACATACATCAATAATAATACATAATTATAATAATAACATAACAGATAATTAAAGACTTACTTTAAACAAAACTGCCCTATAAATTACTATTAAACAAAAAATACTTCAAACTTTCCCTAAAAGACTCTACAGATAGGGATTGGCGGATACTAAATGGTAAACTATTCCATAATTTAGGTACTGCAACAGCAAAAGTACGATCACCGTTACAGGTATTGGTTCGGGGACCAGGGGCGTATCGGGAATTAGCATGTGTAGTTGACCGTAATGAACGTGATGGAACAATAGGTTTGAGAAGGTTGTTTAAATATGATGGAGCATACCCATGTTTAATTTTGAATGCCAACAAAAGAATCTTAAACTGAAAACGAGTTAAAATAGGTAGCCAATGAACAGATCTAAGATTAGGAGTTATGTGTTCGTATTTTCTGGTTTGGGTAATGAGACGGGCTGTCATGTTCTGAATACGTTGCAGTGGAGAAATGGTGGAATTCGGTAAGCCAAAGTACAATCCGTTACAATAATCTAAATGAGAAGTCACAAAAGCGTGGATCAATCGTTGTGTAGACTGTCTGTCCAAATATTTTCGAAGTTTACTAATTCTGGAGATACCAAAAGCAGCCGTCCGACAAGTATTCCTGATATGTTGTTTCATGTTCAGTACATTATCAACAGTGACGCCGAGGTTACGAAGTTATCCCCAAGAAATGATTTCCCCATGTTTTTGCCCAGGTTATATAATTTGTATCATATATTGCATCCATGACATTTCACAATCCTTTACGAATTTCGAGACTATTTTCGGAATACTGTTTATTCATAATTATTAATTTTCATTATTCATAATTATTAATTTTCATATAAATAGTTTATTAAAATTCATATTTTTTACGATTAAACAGAATACAAACAATTACTCTAAATTAGTGCATCCACATAAAAACATACTAGGCCTACTATCAATATAACTTGGGTGCTGGTGTGAGTAAATAATATTTTTAGGGGGGAAATCGGAGATTTATATTATCAATATAAAGAAAACAATAGTGGATAGTGAGGCAATGACGTCACAGACTCATGAGTGAGTTGCCAATTTGTCTTGTGATTTTTAAAGTTTTTCATGTCATTAAAAATTCATAAACTTTTTAGTTTCTTATTACTATCGTTCCGATTTTGCTCAAACTTGTCTTAGAGTCAGGTAAAACAATTATCAATCATTATAGTAACAGAAATCACCTCAAGTATATCCCAACTGCAATGTCAATCAGATCATTATCACATATTGAGATGGAATTGCAGATAGTCGCCCCAAACATCTTCAACCAGCTGCTTAGCTCAGGTAAGATACCATCTTCGCAATCCTTCAACAAAGACAGCCATATCTCAAATGCATCCCTTCGTATCTGACCGCTCAGCTTCTCATGATGGGATTCCAACTGGTCTACGGTGGTTGGAAAACAATCCTCATCATCCTGAGTGCATGGAGGGGATCGTCTTTGCTTCTGGATAATATGAGATAGAAGCTGAACTGACTCAGCTAAGTCTGGAGGTATCATGGGATGTCTTCTCTTCAGTGTTTTGCAGTCTTGCTTGTGACATCTTGCCCAGTCTCCTCGCTGCACGGGGTACAAACATCAAAATAAGAATGTGTAGCGACTAATGTTACAGTGCCTTCATTTATATTTCACTGGTAATTGCATTTTCGATCCAAAATGGCTGCCTGAGAAGTCATACAGAGTTCGAGGATTTTGGTATTACGCCATGCCTTCGGAACTGGTTCCAACTGGATTTATTACTTAAAGATGTTATTCATAAGCATTTTGATCACATGATTAATTAACATAGATGTACGCGTATTTATTCATAAGTTTTTAGATCACGTGATTAATTTACATACATGTGCGCTTGTTTTTAACCAATCGCGCTGTGATTGGCGCTCTTCTGATTTTCCTGTGCGCATGCGGGAATCAGTGAGCTTTTTAATATCGGTATACACACATGCTGTTATTGTGTTGATTATTGTACTTGTCAAATTGTTATCCAACGAGGATGGAACTACTTCGTCCCCGGACCATTCCCGGTGGACGTGCTCACCTATTTACATCTTGTACTTTTTGCAAGATATATTTTGACTCTTTGTGTTCTGCATTGACGACACATTAATTCGCCGTGCAGTGAGAATAGAACATTTTTTATCTAACGTTTTTCTCACCTGCATTATTGTTTCACAACCTTTTATCATCGACTTCTTATGATATATATTGTCTTGACATTTTGATTATTTGACCTGCATCGCAAGTTGATCTATTGACCTCGACTGCATCTTTATTGTATTCGATTGACTGTCTCATCACCATCATCAACGAGACCGTCTTCACCAACGTCATCGTCTTCATCATCGCTGTTTTCATCATCGTTGTCTTCATCATCGTTATCTTCATCATCGTCTGCACCATCGTTGTCTTCATCACCGTAGTCATCGTCTTCATCATCGTTATCTTCATCATCGCTGTAGGCCTATATTCATCTAGCGTCGATCATCGTCTGCATTTTCAACGCGATCGACCACCAGCTCATCGACCACCGTTTTCGACGAGCTAGTTTCTACATCTAGAACTTGAATAAGGTCTACTCTAAATTCAACTCCCATGACTCACTTAACGTTAATTATATTGTGATTTATGCTTTGCATTGTTTATCATTGTGATGGTTATTTTGACTGACTGAGTGCCTGTTGTTGATTTTCGTAGACTCTACGCTTAACACATAGGGTCTAGATCTATTTACATGTTCTAGGTCTAGGCCTGGTCTACTGAACTAGATCTGCTATACTATAGGCCTAGTTTAGATCCACCGATATATTGTTGTATTCTCGTGTTGTGCATTCCGTACACATACACAAGTAGAGATTTATTTAGTGTTTTTTTTTTTAACCACAATATTTCGTGCCTATGTAAGTAAATCTAAACGCTGTCTAGCTTAGATTTGAGTAGTATTTTCTTGACTGTTATTATTCATCCAGTGAATGATATTTAAATGACTCTGTTTTAGTACTGTCTTAAGTTGTACTGCACAGGACTCCTGATAGTTTGAGACATGTATTGAGCGATAATCATTAACCATAGTCTAGTGACTAAGTTGAGTCTCCTTTACACTGTAAAAAAGAATTTGTTCATTGGTAATTTTTACGTATTTTTTCCATGTAGAATTTACTAAAAAACATTAGTTTTGCCACTTACGCACTAAATTTAATTCTTGCTAACTCAAACTTTCAATTTAGTAGAACATACGTGGAATATTTAAGTAAAATCAAATACATAAGAACTTTAAGTAATTTCAGCTTGTATTAATTTAGTAATTTTAACTCAAAATCAGAAATTATACGTATTACTCAAACAATTTATGTTGATTATTCTTATCTTTTTAAAGTAAGGACCGATGCAGTGCGTAATAGAAATATTTACATAATTTATGAATATTCATTAAGACCAAATTAAACTCTTTTTTAAATAAAACAATTTTTTTTGTGGTTGAATGAAAATTTAAGGACTTTAAAACATTTACTAATTCATTTAACATGACTAAGCAAAGACAAAACAATTTTTAATTGTTACCCAGTTCAAAACAAATAAAAACTTGATATTTCAGGAAATTGTCAACCAATTTTTCTTTTAAGATGCTACGATCAAGTATATATAAAATTTGGAGCCTTTCAATATGTGTCGAATTGAAGCGTATGTAATAGTTTGTGATGGTGGTAGATATATATTTATATATACGGTTAAATCTTAAATAATAATAATAATAAATTACATTTATAAAGCGCTTAATACAATGTTTCTGAACGCGCTTAACATAAAAGTAATTAGGTACAACGTAAAATAAACATACAGCAATAATAATACATAATTCTAATAATAACATTACAGATAATTAAACTGCCCTATAAATTACTATTACTGATCAACAAAAAATACTTCAAACTTGCCTTAAAAGACTCTACAGATGGGGATTGACGAATAATAATAGGTAAACTGTTCCATAATTTGGGGGCTGCAATGGCAAAAGTACGATCTCCGTAACGGGTATTTGTTCGGGGACCAGGGGCGTATTGGAAATTAGCATGTGTAGTTGACCGTAATGAACGTGATGAAACAATAGGTTTGAGAAGGTCGTTTAAATATGATGGAGCATAACCATGATTAATTTGAATACTAACAAAAGAAGCTTAAATTGAATGCGAGTTAAAATAGGTAGCCAATGAAGAGATCTGAGAATAGGAGTTATGTGTTCATATTTTCTGGTTTTGGTAATAAGACGGGCTGCCATGTTCTGAATACGTTGGAGTGGAGAAATGGTGGAATCTATAAAGCCAAAGTACAATCCGTTACAATAATCTAAATGGGAAGTCACAAAAGCGTGGATCAATCGTTCTGTAGACTGTCTGTCCAAATATTTTCGAAGTTTACTTATCCTGGATATACCAAAGGCAGCCGTCCGACAAGTATTCCTGATGTGTTGCTTCATATTCAATACATTATCAACAGTGACGCCGAGGTTACGAACTACTTTTGAAGGTACGATTTCAACGCCAGCAGCATCCAAGCACGGCAGACTGCAAGAACTTCTAAACTGCGAGGTGATATGTAGTACCTCAGTCTTAAATAGAAGTAGTGTTAGTGATATGTGATTAATCTTAAATAGAAGTAGTGAATGATTAGTGGATGTTACTTGTTAGATTAGATGGGTACCAAATCGTGCAATATGTAATCCTATCATAGCTTTTTTTTAATTATCTAAAATGATTACAATACTTAAATTATTTACGTTAATGTAACTCGATTTAACTGAGTAAAAATTTATTCAGCAAAATAAGTAAAATTCTACTTTAGATGCCGTAGGTGATATTTACTTAATAAAAATAAGGCAATTCTTTTCCTCAATTTTATTGAGTTATTTCGACTATTATTTTTTTTACAGTGTACATTAATGTGCTTTTGGAAGTTATCTATGTTTGATTATTGATAGTAACTACCAAGGGCCTAGTGATACTTTTAGTTTAGTTGTCTGTCACCAGATAGACAGAAGTTTTTTTTTGATAATTCTGTAATCATTGTTTCTTATGTGAAATTAAACCATTCTGTTTCTAATGGCCAACTATACTAAATATAACATAGCCCCAAACTCCGTAAACTTTATATTAATCAATGCTGAGCACCTTAACAAAAAAAAAATCTGAATATTTTCCCAGAAATGGACATATTTCACTGGGACACTGACTGCTTAGATTCTAATATTCCATAGACTTAATTCAGGAATCATTCATTTCTGATATAGGTAATGGGTTTATGTTGGAGGGAACCAAAACAAAAGATTTGTTTTTACCTGACATGATTTATTGCAGTAGCTTACATAATTGCAACTGGAACACTTCTTTAGAGTTGAACTGAAAGTAAGATGAATATTAGAGTTGACTTGAATCTAGCGCTTAGAGACTTCGGTGGTAATAATATCATTCTTGAAATATTCAAAACAGTTTCAAACCTAAACAAATGTCATTAGAATGTAACATAATGCAGTATTTTACTAGGTCCAAACAAATACATTAAATGAAAAAAACAAGAGTAGAATTTTTACTAAAAGTTACAAACTTTAATCGATTCATGTTTACCTCTTTTGAGTTTTGTGGATATTGATAAAGTAATGCTAACTTTTATTTTTTAAGTCAGCATAATGATGATTAATTTAATCATTATTAGACTTCTATATTAGATCTATATTATTATCATGATAATAATTACGATGTTTAATTCAATCATAGACATAGCATTTAATAAATATTATTTATTCTTAATATCATATTGTCATTAAAGTTAAATGAATGATATTCTACACTCAGTGGATTAACCCGTGCTAATTGGCCAAGAAAGAAAAAAAAGTATATGAAAAGAAAGCACATGGATTTCAATATTATATAGGACCCCTAAAATAAGCCTTAAAGACCCTATCACTTCTTATTATCACATTATAACAAAAAATTAAAAATCTATACCATTTTTGGAGGCAAAAATCACAGTAGTGTCCCCTTTTGTTGTCGAACAGTGTATATACATATGGCAATTCTTCAAGGATACATCGTCCCCTCGCAAAATTTGAAGTGAAGACCAAACCTCGCCCACAAGTAGCTGATGTTACGACACGCACACATTGCATAGGCACAGCAGACTCCGCCATTATAAGTGTAAACTTATGAAATTGCTCTTCTCAGCTCAAACAGGCACGAGGCTACACTTTCAATAAGAGGCGAATGATAACGTTTCATTAAGCTATGCAGTTGTTTGAGTTTTTTCATTTTTTTATTGTCCAGTGGGAATTTCCACTGACATTCATAACAGGAAGTATTATGTTTAACCTTTAATCACTACGGTGATCCTTCCGCTATAACCGAACCGGTCCGTTCACCCACGTGCATCTCAGCAATCACTCTCGTTATAACAAGTTGTATGAGTATGTTAAATCGAGTGGGACCTTCAACTGACATTCATAACAGGAAGTATTATGTTTAACCTTAATTGTACTTGTGATCTTTCCGCTGTCACTGAACCGTTCACCCACGCACATCTCAGCAATCCCTCTCGTTATAACAAATTAAATGAGTATGATTTTTTTTCCGCCTAGGGGTGGGAATTCCCACTCACAAATTATTCTTGGATAGCATAACATTTTAGGCATGGACATGCTGTTCTGACACAAGCCAAAGGTAAAAGAAGAGTATGTAGCTATATCGAAACATTATTACTGATGTATGCATATATACAGCCTTTAAATTACCCAGAGACCTTGCAACATTATGATGTGATGCTTTGCCCACTGATTACAACACCCCCTAATTCATACAATACCCCCTTCACATGACAAAGCTTTTGGTTTCTTCAGCCATTTTTATGTATCATCTTGTTGTACTCTGTGCCCTATTAACTAGTCATGAATGTGGCTTTTACTAGAAACAAATTTTAGTTATTCATCAAATCCTGGACCCCCCCCCTAAAACAGGTGCTCTTACCCCCCCCCCCCCCCCCCCCCCCCCGCTTATTCAACGGCTGGCTGAGTCGTTGGGAAATTTTCGGCGCGATTTTCGATTATAACCCCCCCCCCCTCGAAAAAAATCCTGCGTACGCCCCTGTGTGAATGTATGATGATGAAGAAGGAATGATTTAGTCATCAGGGCCCTTTATATCAATCAAGAATTAATCGAAACTGTGTACTAAAGAGATAGGAGTTGTAATTAAATTCAAGTTGCGATTGATTCAAACCAATCCCAACTTTTTATAAAATGGCCAAGATTATTTCAACTTTCATGTGTTTATCTTTTTTCTTCTTCAATGGCAGGAAACCCAGCAAGTTTGAGCTTTATAAGGAGCTAGTGGGCCTCGAGGAACTCTTATCAGACAAGGTATGGATATGTTCTTCTCTTTCCATATTCCTTACTGAAACCGAAAAAAATGAAATATCTTTTTATATACAAGTTTTTAACAAATTCAATGGAATTATAAGATTAAAATATTTGTTTTGTAATTTTCAAATTAGGATCAAGAGACTGATAGTAAAGTGGTGGTGTATTCCAATGGTGATTTCGATTCTGCCAAATGAAAGCCACAAGATGGTCTTTATGATACCAACAATCCCGTTTCGCGACTTAACTGAGAAATACCATTATCACTACATGATGTGATCATGTGAATGTATGATGATTAAGGAATGATGTAGTCATACGAGATACAAGATACGAGATATATTATTTGGTCTTTGCAAACAAGATACAAAGAACTTTGGTTTCCACTGGCGTTACAGTAATATTCAAGAAAATACATAATTAGGAGAAATAAGTACATCACGTTTATAGAAATAGATGAAATAAGGAATAAATACATACAAAAGAAAATGAAGCGGCAAAAATGGTCATTGGTACTTCAAATCATGAGGGCCCTGTATCATAAAGAGTTGCGATGGATTCATTTCAGCTTTAATTTTTTCTGTGTTTTTTAAAACTTTATTGCAGGTAACCATCAAGATTGAGCTTTGGGAGCTCATAGGTCTTTAGAAAATTTAATCAGACAAGGTGTGTACATGTTCTCCTTATTCCAATTCATTATTGAAGCAACATTTTAGTACATACTCTTACGGGAAACAATTTTGTGGTGTTATGTATTCTAGACACATGGTTTATGATTAATCATAACTATCATTCTTTGAGATGTATCCAGTGGGTAGAAACTTAACAAGTACAACAAAATATGATTTCTAGAGTCTACAATATGCAATAAGTGTATTGAGTAATTGTTATGGGGCTGTTATGAGAACATGATGATTCTAGTTTATCCTCTTGAACTCTCTATCTGAAAGCACACCAGTACATGGATGAGATTCTTCAATCTGATACTTGTAACAACTCCATTAATTTCTGTCTGGAACAAGAAGTTGAGGGGGCGATGTATTAACCTGATCTTTGGAATGTTATAAGGTTTGGAGAAAAACACTGTGTCATGAATACTTAACCATAAGTAATAATAGCAATGCCTTCCTGCCCTTCCGTTTTAATGTGCCTTTTGAAATTCTGATGTACTTTATCATGGTGGAGATGCATTAGACCAAGATATTTTGAGATCTATTAAATCAAGCTGTTTAAAAGAAAAATAACAATCGTAAAGCATGGTTGTAGTTAATGCAGTAAGTCTTATATCATGCTTGCTTGCAGTGGTCACATTGAGAAGAGGGTGGTTTTCTATTCCTGACCAAGGTTTATTAATAGTGAAAAATTGATGGTGATTTGATAGTGCGTTTTTGAGAAAATCTGAACACAAAAATCGTACAGAAAGAAAGAAGACAAATTCTAACGAAATCAAAAGGTGATCTGAGGATCAGCTGCAGACCACCTAATTATGTGAACATTGGAAATTGAGTATTTATATTTGTAACTTAAAGAACAAATTTCAGAGAGTGAAGTCTTTCATTTCGTCGTTCTCACCACGAACCGTCCTCTCTAGCAAAATTTGCTATTTTTTCTCCATTTTTCCTCATTTTGTGCATGTACTCATGGTTACCTACATCCTTAATTTCAGAGTGTGAATATGCTTGGTTACGTAATACCGTAATCATCACAAAGCGTCCGCTCAGCGATTATAGGATTTGTCTGCACCACGAACCGTCCTCTGTTGCGCGCAGTACCAGGGCCTTCCATTCAATTTGTACACTGTCAGGTTGCGCGCAAGTAGAGCGGACGGTTCGTGGTGAAATCGCGTATCGTGATTTTATTTTTCCACGAACCGTCCTCTCTGTTTACAAACCAATTGTAGCAAAAATCCTCCAACTCAAGAGAATATAAACACACTGTATACAACTTTAAGACCTAAGCTCTCAAGTAGTCCCATTGATTTTTAATATAATCTATTCTAAAGTCTAACAATTACCGTTTCAAAAAGTCCTATCTTTTAAACGCGTTTTCTTCAAAACTGACTTTCGCTAGGAAATGCGCAGAGAGGACGGGTCGTGATGCGAGCGACAATTTGTGAAGTAATGTTCATTTATTGATTTCATTATGGGCTTGTGGATATACTGAAGGTCATGAAAGTGGGCGAAAAGATTGAGATTAGAAAGTAGCATGAAAAGTGAGTAAAAGAAAGTGTCTTTTGATTGTATACTGTCGAGGTTCACAAGGCATCAAGTTTTGGTGATCTTGGAGCCCTGGCCAATCTGTTTAAAATAAGTTTATTTTTCTCCATGTATATCTAAAGGTATACTGATTTGATTGTGTATCAGAACTGGAAAAAAGGAAGTGAAAGAAGAGCGATCAAAATCATCATCACCATATATATATATATATACACTTGCACAACACACTCACCAACTCATACACAAAGATCGTTTGAACAATTTTTCATTTTAAGTTTTACCTTTAGATTTTTTTTTTGTTCTTGTTTTTTTTTAGGCCGCCATCCTTGTCAAGCTTTGTTATGATTGCGGTCTCCTGCACTTTTCCAAAAGAATAGTTCGGATAATACTTTAAATTTATGATAATATGTTATGGAAATAATAAGTTTCGTTATTATATGGTCATATATTATGTAAAAAAACATTTTGACATGAAGAAATTATTGTTTGTTTATGTTGTATTATACCTTACATGTATATTATGTTCTTTGTTATTCAGTTATATTTTATTTGGAAAAAATGCAGAAGTAAAATCAAATCAATCAAATCAATCAATCAGAAAACAATTGAATATGAAGAGTGAACAATATTAGAAAAAATTAGAAAAGCCGAGACAAGGAACGTGAGAAATAGTAAACAATTAAGAGTGAATGGGAAAGGGTCAAAAATAAGTGAGAAAGAATGACGGGGGAAGAGTCGCCAAAGATATGAAAGTGAGAAAGGAATAGCAAGTGACGA